AACCCTCAAACCGCTCTCAGTATCTGTGAATCGGATTCTCTGCCTGTTGGCTTTTTTTGGGTTTTTTTTCCCCGATTCCACATAGAAGCGAAATCCTCCGGTACTTGCGCTTCTCCGTCTCGGCCGCTTCACCCAGCCCCTAGGACACCCTTTCAGTTTCAAATGAAGAAACTTGGAAAAAATTACCACCAACGTGTTTTTTCAGCAGCGAAGCTTTTTTTTTTTATATATTAAATTATGAGAAGCGCTTACTTAGACCATATGTTCCAACGAAGACTGAGCTAAACAGCTTCGTATTTAAAAAGGGGTGAGGCTTGGGCCGCATAATGTAATTTGAAGAAAAATTTAAATAGGTATATTTTAGTCTTAGTTATGAATTGTTACAAATTATATTGTCGACCGTAAAGCTCAATCTTTAAAGAAATTTCACTCGGTATTGAAACGAGCTTAAAATGTGAAACTGTTGTTTGTGATGTGGGGGGTCGGTGCCTCGCTGCCATTAGAAAATAAACCTTCAGGAACCCGGGCAAACTGTAACCAGCACCGGTTACAGGCAAAAGCATGTTTCCATTAAATGGTCTAATTCCCAAGAACCATCAGAGATGTGAATTATGATTCGCGAACCTGTCTAGATTGGTCCAAAGGTAACAGTCCGCTTGAACCAAAAATGACTGTCTCGCTTATTTGGGAAGCTTCCGGTTAAATGGAAACATTTTTGTATTTAAAACCAATTTTCTCAACTCTGTCTCGTGGACGGTCGGCCCTGGGTTATTATCATCAGGAACGGATTGTGTAGTAACAGCGAGAAAATTCTAGAATAAAAGATAGAGCCGTCCAGGAATACAAAAGGCACTTAAATGCAGAGAAACCCTTCTGGGGTGATAAAGGCTATTAGTGGGTTATAATATAGTTTCTTTTTAAAAAAAAACATTCACNAACATTCACTTTAAAGTGCTTTTTAAAATGTGCACATGCATCTGAGTGTATATATTTGCAGTTGCGNCATTCACTTTAAAATGCTTTTTAAAATGTGCACATGCATCTGAGTGTATATATTTGCAGTTGCGTATCTTGTGTTGAATATTCCATATATCCGCGGCGACAGTTAAAGCCTCCGGCTTCTGGGCTGTGAAAGTGTCTCACACGGGACGAGGGAGGGACACAAACCCTTCGCACATTCTGTTGAGCCGGGGTCAGCGACCCGGCCGTCCCTGTTCTTTGCATCACGCCCCGAATAGATAGATTTACAAAGTGAAAAACCTGGGCCGAAAGCCCATCATTTCGGGAGCTGAAGGCTCCCCCGCTGAATGCAGTCCCCTGCTTCGGACCCCGTTAAACCCCGGAGAGAAGCTGGCTGTCTCCAAAGTTGGGGAACCGAGCCCGGTGGCGTGGAGCTCGGGCCTAATACCCCGTGTTCACCGGCAAACGTTCTTGATGGGCATCCTGACGATATGTCGTTATTTCTAATTTAATTAAGAGGCCGTGAACAGTTAACTATCGGCTCCCATTCAGACCCTAGAATATATCATCAGGAAAACCATGAGAAACGTGCACTTTTCCCAAATGGACACATTTTTTTTTTTTTTCCGAGTGAAAAAATGGCTTTTTAACTGTACTTTTTTTTTTTTTTTCAAACGAGAAACGAGCTGATTAAATTGAGAGACACTCATTCTATAAACGGCCCTGAAACTCGACAGTGTCCGTGGCTACCTGCTGCCGACGGAGACCTGCTTAAGCCCACATGCGAACGAAACGTTAACTTATGAATATTTATGCTGCCTTGATGCTAATAGGAAATTCGATTATATTGGCCTTGTTTGTATAAATAATGGATGTGTGGACCTATCGATAAATGTACCTCGGGAGTGGCGTCGAACACCCAGAAGTCGTTTGCAGACAAGCATTGTTTCGCATGACTTTCTGCAGAGTCATGGCATCGGAGGGTGGGCATGGAGCCCACATCCCGCAGGAAAAGTGCAGAAATAAAAGGAGTTGCCAGCAGGGTTCCTGGAGGGTCCCCTTCCCTAACGGCACCAAAATGTCACTGGGGCCCGAAGGAAGTGCCTCGCAGACACACATCTTCAAAGTAACCCCCCCTCTGCGCCACACATCTCATCAGCACGATCCGCGTGGCCCTCTAGGGCTGTGCTGACATTGGGGAGAAACGGGTGCATTTTGGGGGAGACGCAGGAGCAAGAGCTGGGAGACGATTCGGGAGCAGAAGGCGCGCAGGGCGCAGGGCGCGTGTCCCGACCCACAGCTGCCTCGCTCCACGCTGGCCACGCGAAGGGACGTCTCCAAGTCTCTCCGCTTCTTTCTGTTTCCCTTCTTGGTTTGCTTGACTTTACCTCGGGCCGATAAACCGGGAAGGGGACTGGCAGACACGCAGGCCCAGGGTGTGGGGCCACCCAACCCATTCGGTGCCCTTTCGGGTGCCATCGCGCGGGGCGGAGAGATGATCTGATGGGCTTGGCTCGACTGGGGGCAGCGCCCTGAGGCAGCTAAATTAAAAAAAAAACACCTCCCTGCGATTCTGATGTGAATCACCCCCTCCAAGGCTGTCATTGGGGTGGTCACGTAAGTCTCTGTCTCGCCTCTTAGATCCGAGCGCGCAGGTTCCCAATGCAAACAGCATCCGGCCGCTGCCTCCGGGGCGCGGGAGGATCTCGCGTGTCTAATGCATTTTTTTTTCCACCCCGGGTCCTATTTTGAGCAAGAGAAAAAGACGAGACGCCGCTAAAGAAAAACGCAGCAGCTCTTGGCTGTTTCCAATGTTTCGAATTAAAGCCCATCGTTAACAAAGTCACAAAGGATTCTTGTGCGCACGTTGGACCCATCCTCTGTCGGATAAATCAAGCCCTTTAAAAGTGGAAGGGCGCCGTAAAGCACCCTTTGGAAACAAAGATGAAACCAGAAAGAAATATAACCTTTAAAAAAATTCTCCGGGTAAGACCCTCTGAGGACAATTTAAAAATACCACCCACCCCCCAAAACAAGCCAGAGGATGTCTGCCTGATTATGCACAGTGCTTGCTACCTTTCCCTCTCTTTTTTATATTTATTTTTTGGTATTTCTTGTTTAACACAGACGTGTAAATTATTAGGCGTTCCAGCAAACTAGGGTGATCCCAGTGCAGACTGGGAGGTGATCATAGGGGCAGATGGAAGATTAGCTGCGTTGAATCAGCACTGGCCGAGCCGGGCAGGCCCGGGACACGCGCTCCCGGGGGCTGGGGCCCCGCCCCTGTGGAGTTCACTGTCCCACGGGAAACAGAGTGGACAGTCCACGTGGGGCGCAGCAGCCAGATACCCACTGAGCCTGGCAATCGCAGGAGCAAGCTACGCCAGAGGGCCGCAGAAAGAGCCAAGAGGAAGGCCGAGATAGGCCGAGGCGTCCGTATTTCAGCCGGTAAAGACATCTCAGAGATAAAAAGGGGCCTCTCTCACAACGCTGCGCTTTAATGGATGCAACTGAGACTTGTAAAGGCGTCTCTGTGGCCCAAAGGGTGACCCCCCCACCCCAAGCAGGACTGGGGCCAGGGAGTGGAGTGGTGGTGTGTGGGTGCATTGTTTCCTCTGGCCGGATGCCAGCAGAGGGGAGCATCCGGGTTGCGGGGGGGAGACATGCTGCTGGAAGGGAAATTTGGGGTCGCTGCCCAGGAGGCACAGTTCTTTCTGTCCAAGTCCAAGCAGGACCCCCTCTTATTAGACAAGCGTGTTGTGAAGGGCGACCGACCCTCAGCGGACTCTGCTTCTGGGAGACAAGCATGAGAGAGTCACTTTGTAATTTGTTTGGAAGACAGTCCTTGGTGGCGCTCAAGCGATGAGTCCAATGAGAGGGAAGTTAGAACCCGGGACCAGCCCGGTGCTGGGGACTGGCAGAGAGGGTGGGTCCCATGGCCGGGAGCTACCCATTAATATCTTTACCAATACTGACTTTGTGCAACAAAAATATGGCACTGGGCCTGCCCACAGGGCCTGCTGTGTGAGTTAAAATCATCCACACTCTGCCCGGCCGGTGTGGCTCAGTGGTTGAGCATCAACCTATGAACCTGGAGGTCGAGGTTCAATTCCCGGTCGGGGCACATGCCTGGGGTGCAGGCTCCTCGATCCCCAGCAGGGGGCGAGCAGGAGGCAGCCAGTCATTGACTCTCTGATCACTGATGTTTCTCTCTCTCTCCCCCTCTCCCTTCCTCTCTCTGCAATCAATGAAAAATATTTAAAAATAAAAATATAGACAAAATAAAATCATCGACACCCTTCGAGGTCTTTCTCCGGTTTTGCAGACTCAGAGCTGAAACTGAGCCCTTAGGAGAAGGGACTTGTCCATATTAGCAGCTCCGGCGAGTCCAGAACCCACGTGGCTGGGACCCTTTCTGCACCACAGAGAAAGCCTGTGTCGCCATCCTGGTGACGGCCAGTAGGCCGCTCAGAGCCGGGCGCCCTCGATAGATATAAAAGTGCACCTGTTGTGATTCCAGCTCTCAAATAACTTGCAGCCTGGCGGTGGGGTGGCAGGGAAAGAACTGGAAAGCACAGCGGAGCGTGTGGCAGGGGCCTGAGTAGGCAAAAGAGGAGGGATGGGCTGTCATCACTTCTCACCTTCTGGTTTCTCTTCCTTCCCCCACCAGGTCCTGTGCGTGGAGATCTTCAGCTGTGGGGCACCAGGAGCTCCTCGGCGGCGCAGACAGAAGATGAACACGCGTTGAGCATTTTACCAGAAACACAGGGAGAGCGGCCCAGACGTAGCCCATCCTTCAACCCGGGAAGACACCCAGGCCCGGGAGCCAACGGCAAAATGGATCCGTGCTGATGACGGCCTCCCACGGGTTGCCAATCACACAGCAAGCTGAGAAGACATCTGAGAGCCCGTTGGGTATGTGTCGGGCACTGGTTTCCCTCGTTTTATTTTATTGATTTTTAGAGAGAGGGAGGAAGGGAAAGAGAAACATCGATTTGTTGCTCCACTTATTTCTACTCTCATTGGTTCACTCTTGCATGTGCCTTCCTGGGGGTCGAACCCACAACCTTGGAGCGTCTGGATGATGCACTAACCCACTGAGTCCCCTGGCTGGTTTCCCTCTTTCCCCTCCTCACCTTGGGCCTCTCGGTCTGCGGATCTGCAGAAAATGCAGGACCGCAGCCCCAGAGCCTCGCAGAGCACAACAGCGCTTTGCTCCCCACCCCGCCGTGAAGCACACACTTGAGATTATTGATGCCAAGTGCTTTCCTCCAGGAATTCGCAGTGTCCCCCCGCTGAGCAGCAAACCCTGGCGCATCCCGAGGGCCGATGCGAGCAGCGTGCGTCTCCTGGAGCTTTGCAGGAGGCATATGGACCTGGTGCGACTTCCTTCTCGAGTTTGCCAGCCCAACGGCACGGCCCATTTCTTCCTTAGAAGGGTACGTGTTGCTTATTTTTTAAAGGGGTTGCTTTAGGACGGGGATCTTGGCAGGGGGTGGGGGCAGCAAGGCGGCGGCTACGAGGCTCCCTCCTAGGAAGGCGCCAGAGGGCATATCTGGGAGCGTCGTCCGGGTGTGAAACCTCCCTTCTAGATTGGGTGACGCAGGCCCCGTGGGCGCAATTCCCCTTCCTCGGCCCGCCTCCGTGGGTCTTTTGATTGGAGCATTCAGTCCATTTGCATTTAAAGTAATTGTTGATAGATATGTACTTAGCGCCGTTTTATTATTCATGTTTTTTTATGTTTTATCTTCTTTTGAAAGAAGGCCCTTTAACATTCCTTGTACGACTGTTTTGGTGGCAATGAGCTCCCGTAGCTTTTCGTTGTCTGGGAAGCTCCCTCCCCTTCGATTCTAAGTGATAGTTTGGCTGGGTAGAGTAATCTTGGTTGTAGGTCCCCGCTTTTCAGGCATTTTTATCAAGGGCAGAGCCAGGGGGCCAGCCACCGCTTGCAATCACCTCCCAGCCCACGCCCACCGCCTCTGGCCGTCTTAGCAGCGACAGATCTTTTTGAGGTTGTCAAGTGATGCGATGGCGGCATTGTGAGGACCTTCCGCTTCCCCCATCCCCTGCCCTGCCGTTTTGGTTGGTTTTTCAATTCCATCTCAGTAAATGCTTGATCCACGTAAAATCCAGACACTTGCTAAGCAAATGCGTCTTTACAGCCAGTCTCCGTGCCCTTCCGGCCAGTCAGATTCAGCCCCCAAGTCCTTCTTAGGCAGAAGTTGGGCGGCCACTACCGACCAGTCAGCGGAAAGGGATTTGAAATCAGAGAGACCCGGGTTCGAATCACGGCTCTGCCTTCAGACCTGTGCATTTTGGAGCCAAATAGCTCCTTGCCAGTGAGGCAGGGAATGATCTGAGTTCAGGTACAAGTCCAAATGCCATAATGAGTCCATTTTATTTCCCCAAAACATGAAAGGAACTGGAAAACTTTAACTGGCTGTAGGAAAATCATGGGGCAGGTCTGCACGAGCGGGCGAGGTAGATTCACGCTGGGAGGTGACTAGATCGGGACCCAGCAAGGGGTTCCAACGCTCACGAACACGGTGACAATGACTCAGGGCTTTAAAACTCTTCCGGAACCAGGAATAAGTGTCCTGCTGGGAGGGCTGAGCCCACGAGGGCCCCACGCGTGGTCTCTATCAAATGAAAGACGTTATTACCCCTGCGATGTCAGGCAGCTGTTTGCCATTTCCCCTCAAAGCAGCGGGAAATTGGCTTAAACTGCAGAGATTTGAGTCCGACACAAGGAAAGAATTCCTGACAGTAGGGGCTGTTAAACAATGGAACGAGTTAGTAACAACAATCGCGGAATGGGTTTTCCAGGGCCCTTTGGACCCTGGATCGCGTCTGTCTGGGAGGTTTTGCTGTAAACTTGCCCGCTGGAACCCCCCCCCCCCAGGACACTTTCCACTCCTCCACGTCTTAATTAGTTCAGCGTGCTCTCGCATCCATAGCTATAATCCTGGTCACAACCGATTAAAAGACAAAAACGTATTTCCCACTCAAATCCCCCAAACGAGAAGGTGTNATGGAACGGCCTGAATGTTTTCCTTCATATGTTTTTAATTTCTTGGGAGAAGTTTTAAAAGTGCCATTTCCATAAAGCGAAGTTGAGCTCAGCGATACATTGAATTATAAGCTGGTGGGAATGCTGAATGGAGACGGATAATGGAAACATTAACGGGAGATTTAGCGGTGACGGCAACCTCGCGTCTCCACAATGCAGGGAAACCGCGTGAAAGTGACTGCCATTGTAGATAAGGGGGCGCCGCTTTTAATAATGGATTTTTCATGCATTACTCCCGTGCTTTTAACATTTTTTCTATCACGAACGGTGACCTTGGGATAATGCTGAGAACCATATTTTGTATTTAACCTAAATACCAAATTTAAAGACTTACATCGGTGATACAAAAGGCTGGCTGGCTCGCCGCTGGAGACGGTGCAAGGTCGCCGGATGCGTCTACAAATTCATCTGCAAAAGAAGTAAATCATTTTTTATTGAAAATACGCAACACGTAACTACTTTCCCCCAAATAGGCCAGGAGTTGTTCACGGAAAGGGAAAAAAAATAGGAGGCACACTGACAGGTGGATACCATGTCGGTGCAAAGAGGGGGTCCCCATCGCCCCCCGCAAAGCCGCTCTACAAAGGTTTAAGCAAAAAGAGTGTCCAGTACCTGCACTCGCAGCTCCCAGTGACTCCCAACCAGGCTGTGGTCCTAAGACCCTCCTGCATCTGAATTCTAAACTCCAATGGGTAGCAAGGGAAGCAAACTGGGAGCTTGTTAACGGGCGTTCAAGAGGCTAGAGCCCGGCTGGTGTGGCTCAGTGGTTGAGCATCGGCCTATGAACCAGGAGGTTGCGGTTCGATTCCCGGGTCAGGGTACGTGCGCAGTTGCAGGCTCCTCGATCCCCAGCAGGGGGCGTGCGGGAGGCAGCCGATCAGTGACTCTCATCCTTGATGTTTCTCTCTCTCTCCCTCTCCCTCTCTGTGAAATCAATAAAAACATGTATATTCTTTAAAAAGAGGTAAGACTTTGGTTTCCCCATAATTGGGGCTGCATTTGTCAGGACGTCAGCCCACGGAAAGCAAACAGGTGTAATCTTTGAGATAATGGGCCCAAGAACGTAAGCAACCAGCTCCTCTGCCCATGAGAAGGGACAGATTGTGCACCGTGTGGAGGTGTGTGTACCACTCAGGGCAGAAAAGAGAAACTCACACCAACAACACTCACACCCGAGCCTCAGCCCAGCTCCCAGTCCCTTCCAACCGTGCGGCTGTTGGACAAGCCCGTTGACCCTCCGTGGGCTTCATTTCTCTTATTTGTGAAATAAAGGCCACGCCGATCTCACGGGAGTCTTACGAAGTACAAAAGGAGACAGTGTCCGCGGCGAAGGGAGTGATATCAAAGAAAATTACAGATAATGATATAATTGGGCGTATTACTATTTTCTCCGAGAGTTTCTACTTTCTCTAATTTTTGTCTCGGGGCAAGTTGCCTTTCACACACAAAAAAACTTACTGTTCTTTTCTTGGTCTGCTCGTCCCTGAATGTACCTCAGGAAAAAAAAACACCTACTTTCTGTCTCGAAAACTGTCCTCGGAAAACTCTTCTGTCGGCTCTGGGGCCCGGCGTCAACCCGCCTCCCTCTGCCGGTTTTCTTTCACTCCCTCAGCTTCCCCGGGAAAGGCCGGCCGTCATCTTGGTTCAACGCTCCGTGTGCCACCATTGATTTTCTTTCCTTAAAAAAAGAAATCTTTATCTGAGGAAATGGCTAAGAAATCTTTTCACCTTCCTAATAAAATACGAGTTCCCCTTCCTCGGTTGGTGCAGGCTATCGTGTAAAAAATATAAATATAACTTACTTTTTTTAAAAAAAAAAAATCAAGCTTTAAACAAACAAAAAAATAATACACATGAAAGCCCAAGTTTAATTTTTTTTAAAAGTTTGCCTCGGTCTCCTTCTCAGAAAACATACAATAAACACCTGCTAATTTGGTTCACAATGTTGAGATATTTTGATTGATTTTTTTTTTTTTTTTTTAAGAGAAAAAAGAAGGGAGATGGCGGGAGAGAGAAACGTCCCCCTGACCGGGAATCGAAGCGGCGACCTTTCTGTGCACAGGCCGGCGCCCAACCAACTGAGCCACACCGGCCAGGGCCATAAATGCTGAGATTTCAGAGAGATATTTGCCACCTCCGTAGCTGCCCAACACTTTCCAAATTCCGGGTTTTCTCTGCCTGGGGGTGTTTCTCTTCATGTTCAAATTCAGTCAAAGCTCCCAGGCGCCAGCACCAGCTCCTCTATAAAACCCTGCTCCCCTGAACTCTGGGCAGCCTGCCCCTTACCCAGGCCACCGGACGCATCAGGGCCGCCATCGGACGCCCACGTGCCCGCTTACAGCCCAAATCCGGCGGAGCACCCCCATGCCACAGCCCCACCCCTCATCTTCTCGGCCCTACTTGGATTGTTTTCGTATCCTCAAGACTCGATCCCTGCGTCCGGGTCTTATTTCTGTTTCTGTGTCCATTGCCCTTCGCACCCCACGGATACGAAGCCACGGAGAAGGGGGGACGGTGGGTGAGTCATTGCCATTCCCTTTCCCGCCGTGCTCCGTCCAGCTGTTTCTCTGCCCCTCCGCTGTCCTTCCTTCGGACAATATCGGCATTTTGCTTCCAGCAGACAAACCCCGGGGTCTCCCTGCACCTACACAGAGCCTCCCAAAAACCCAGACACAAAGTCTGGTTCGTTCTCAGCTGAAAACGAGATGGGCCTCTTGGCCCCTGCTTATTGAATCGCTTCAACTCGCACCGACGTCCCACGTGGGAAGATTTCATTTGCACAAATAAATGGCCGGGCCGGTGTCCTCCTTTAGACTCGCAAACAGTGGGCTCACAGCCCAGCTTAGTCTCCATCAGACAGACTGTCACCCGCGCTCCCAGCACCGGCTCAGGCCCCGTCCACGCCCGGCCGACTTGCTATAAACCAGACACACACGACCGGCAGAGCGCGTGGGAGGCGGGCTCCCCGTGGGAGACGCTCCATCCCCAAATGGAAGCCAGGCGCGCCTTCCCATAAACATCCTGCACCCTCCCAAGAAGGGACCTCGAGAGGCCAAGGGTTCGTTTCCAAGCGGGGGAAGCAGCCAGCGGAGCGCATGCACGTGTTGTTTTTTGTGTGTGTTTTTTCCCCCCCTGGTTTTAAAGAATTCAGCCCCGACGGTGTGATTCCGGGGCGTGAGCTGTAGAACTGAGAGACCCGCGTAGGGACTTTCATTGTCTGAGGCGGTTCCCAGAGCGCGTTTCCATCTTCGGAGGGACTGAAACGTTCCGGCTGGAGGTTCGTCCCTTGGCTCCTTTGTTCGTGGGTCGGACAGTTATTTATCGCTGCATGTTTGGTGCCAGACACCGTTACGGGCGTCGGGGAGGAAA